CATGTTTTTAACTATAGGATTAAGCGTAATGTCTTTGAGTTTATTATATTTATCAGAGTATACATATGTAGGAAGTGGAAGCCTAAGAGAGAGAGACTCAATAGTTCTCCATGCGGGGGGCTTTTCTGCAGCATAATAGAACATTATAGTTCTTAACTGGGCTGCCCAGTAATACCAAACCATGTTAGGACATTGCAGCCCTCCTGCATCAAAGGGCAAGTACAAAAGTGATAAGCGAAGTCTGGGACGCTTGTTATTCCATAAAAACTGATTAAACAGTTTTCTTATTTTAAGGAAAAAGTCTGAGGGGGGTGGCAAGGGGATATTCTGAAACAGATACAGAAGCTTAGGGAGCACGTTCATCTTTAGTATATTTATTCTACCAATCAGTGAAATTTGGAGACTCGACCATCTCTCCACTGATTTGGATATGTCAGTCATAATTGGACTATAATTATGGTTCACCACCTCTTCCAATTTTGGGACAATCTGAATACCTAGATAAGTAAACTGATTCACATTTCTAAAATGGCAGGTGTATTTAGGTGGATTCATCCTTTCTTCTGAGTTCAAAAGCATTATAGAAGATTTTGATTTATTGATTTTATAACCAGAAATATGTCCAAATTTTCCAATTAGGTCTAAAATGGCTGGAATAGATTTTCCCAGATTTTTAAGAAAGAGGATCACATCGTCAGCATAAAGAGCTATTCGATGGTCGAGCCCTCCGATCTCTATACCCGTGATCACACAGTGTTCTCTTACAGCAATAGCAAGTGGTTCAATTGCAATTACAAATAAAAGGGGGGATAGGGGGCAACCTTGTCTACAACCTCTTCCAATCTCAACTGGTTTTGAGATAACATTATTGGTAATTATTTCTGCATATGGGTTATTATATAGAAGCCTGACCCAGTTACAGAATCCCACTCCCAAACCAAAGCGACCAAGAACCTCAAGCAAATAGGGCCATTCCACCCTATCGAAAGCCTTCTCGGCATCTAGTGCCAAGAAAGCTGTATCTGAAGACCCCCCTTGCTCGTGTAAAATATTTAACACTCGTCGAACATTGTGGAATCCCTGACGCCCAACCATGAACCCATTTTGATCTTCCTTGATGATGTCTGGCAAAAGGCCCTCCAGTCTCTTTGCTAGAATTTTACAGAGTATCTTTAAATCTGAGTTTAAGAGGCTAATTGGCCGCAGGTTTTCACATTTATCATTCGATTTTCCAGGTTTAGGAAGAAGTGTAATTAAGGCCCCTCTCAGAGTGGGTGGGAGTATCCCCTTTTGAGCAGATTCAGAAAACATTTCCAAAAGGGGTGCCTTTAATTTGGATACAAACTTTTTATAGATATCAATTGGCAGACCGTCTGGCCCTGCAGCCTTTCCAGAATTCATACTCATTATTGCCTCTGAGATTTCGTCCAGAGTCAATTTAGCCCCCAGTCTCAAGGATTCCTCTTCTTCTATTCTGGGGATATTCATATTGTCAAGAAAAGAGAAAAAATTGGGGTCTGGTTCACCTGGGTTTAAGTCAGAACTGTATAACCTTTCATAATAGGCCTTGAAAGAGTCACTTATTGCAGCAGGGTCAGAGATCGTTTCCCCTTTATCATTTTTAAGTGCAGTGATTGATCTTTCCAATTGGAATTGTTTTATACGCCAAGCCAGAATTTTACCTGATTTCTCCCCTTGATCAAAAACGGACTGCTTAAGTTTTAATAAGTTAGCTGTAGCTTTTGAAGCTGAGATTTCATTATATTGGGTTCTTAATAACAGCAAACTTTGGTGCAGCTTGGGACAGGGGTTCTTAAAGTACATATCCTCAGTAGCTTTAATTTGCGATTCCAATAATTTCAGCTTTTGTCTGGCCTTCTTAGATTTTGAGCTTGTGAAGCTAATTATTTGGCCTCTAATGAAGGCTTTGAATGCTTCCCATCTAATACACGGAGATGTTTCAGAAGTATTGAGCTCAAAGTAATCAGTAATTTGTTTGTCAAGGTACGCCAGTAGGTCTTTGTCCTTTATCCATTTTTGCTGAAATTTCCATTTTGGGGGATCTCGTACTAGCCCTGGATCCAAATAGACCAGACTGGCTGGGGCATGGTCTGAGATAAGGACACTGCCATAATCACAACTGTTCACTTTATAGGACAGACTTGCTGAGATCAAAAAGTAGTCTATTCTTGAGTATGATTTATGTGTGCTTGAATAACATGAATATGTCGATACACCAGGATTCCTGTCTCTCCATATATCCATAAGATTTAATTCCTTAGCAAACTGAAGAATGGTTTCCCTACTCTGGCTATGAGATTTGTCTAAATGTGATGATTTATCTATACTTGGGTTCAGAGTGCAATTGAAGTCTCCCGCTAAAATATATTGACCACTGAGTGCTGACAGCGTGCAGAACAGGTTATTAAAAAAAGATGGTTCATCCTTATTTGGGGCATAAATATTAACTAAAATCAGAGGTTCTGTATAGAGAGTACCCTGAACAATCAAATACCTTCCCATCCTATCTGCAATCACCTTACAAACATTAAAGGGGACGGACTTGTGTATTAGAGTCAAAACCCCTCTCGCTTGGGAGTTAAATGGTGCTGAAAATACCTCTCCCTGCCATCTCCGCTTAATCTTTAAGTCCTCTTTTCCAGTAAGATGAGTCTCTTGGAGAAAAATTATTTTGGAATGCATATCTTTTAACCTTCTCATCACTTGTTTAACTTTTTTAAGTTTTTGCAGCCCTCTACAGTTCCACGATGTCATCTTAATTTCTAAAACATTGGACATAGCTGCAATTTTCAGATGATCTTCTCATGCTAGTATATAGAAGTGTACCTTTAGACAACCAAAACAATGCAGACAACACAGATGCTTCTAACTGCATCAACCATTGAACACAACCCCTCTGACCTAAGGGCCAGTTTCCCCTTCTCCTTACTGCACACTCCGGTAATGCTAATGACCAGTCCACAGTTATTGAGGAATGATCCAACATTATTGATATTGACTTATCCTAAACCTAAACTTAAACACTCCCTCCATTGTTAGCTTTTACATACAAATAATAATTGCTTTGCCAGGAATTTATTGCTATCCCAAATATACTCATGTAAATAAATTAAATGTTAGGGGTCTACTGTGCTTTAACTCTATTTAAATGTAACTATAACTCAGAGAGTCCTCCTGGAAAACAAAAAGTAATCGATCCCCCCCCCCCCAAAAAAAAAAAAAAAAAAAAGGGGGGGGGGGGTATACTCACAATACAGGTAATCACCAGTGTCTTTAACCCCCGTACGGATATAATGGAGGCATGTACAGATGTTCAGTGTGAATATATTTCAATGATCAGTTCACAGTAGCCCCAGGAATTAGCTGCCAAGCAAAACGTTCAATTATTTTACCAACTTTATCCGTATCGCTATTCATCCCGCTCTTCTTGGATCCGCGTAACGAAAGTCTCTGCGTCCTCCGGTTTGCCAAAAGTCAGTGTTTTATCCTTGTAGGTCACCAGGAGCCTGGCGGGGAGAAGCATCCCGTGTCTTATCCCCATGCTGCGGAGCTGTCGTCTCACGGAGTCGAACTCTTTCTGCATCTTATGTATGCCGGCTGCCATGTCCGGGTAGAAACGCACCGGTTTGTCCTCGTAGAGTATTTGCTTTTTGATTTTGGTCGCTTTCAGCACCATTGCCTTATCCCTATCGCTCAGGAATTTCATGATCAGTGTTCTTGGGGGGGCGTTTGGGTCGTTTCTCGGGCCAATTCGATGCGCCCTTTCCAGGAATGGCTTTGATTTCAGCAGAGGGATGTCCAGCGTCTCCGGGATCCAGGTTTCCAGAAATGCGCAAGCATCCGTTCCCTCCATCTTCTCCGGTAAATTCACCAGTCTCAGGTTAGCCCTCCTTGCCCTTGTTTCCAAGTCCATTACTTTGTCCTCCATATCTCTGGTTTTCTTTTCGAGACTCTGGACTTTTCTCTGAAGGCTATCGACCGTGTCCTCAGTGTCGGAAATGCGTGTCTCGACATTTACAATACGCTCCTTACACTCTCCGACCTCGTTTCTCACTCCCTCAATTGCAGCCATTATTCCGTCAAACCTGTTGGAGAAGTCGGTTTTCAAGTCTTTGATAGCTTCAAGAATCGGAGCGTGACTTGGTCCTTCCTCTTCAGCGCTAATTGACTCTTCCGACATGGCGCTAGCTTTAGCTTTTCCACTTTGTTTAGTTGGTCCGAAATCAATTTTAGGTTGTGAGGGTTTACCACGACCCCTGCCCGATTTACCTGGTGCAGACGACATAAAAGAGTCCTAAGCGTGGATACCGTTACAGTTTAACTTCAAAAGTTGATATTACGTTAGGTGTCTTGGCAAAGATTCACGGAGGAGGAAAGTCTAGCTAACGCGCCGCCATTTTTCAGAATCTGTAGAGCAAAATTTAGTATTGAAGTCTAAATAACTCAAAATGTGATGTCCACATATGTGGACGCCAGGTCCTAGGAGGTTAAAGGAGGTATTAATTGGCTCACCTCTGTTCTTTGTGCCCTCAGTACACACTCTGGACTCTTTATTTGCCTACTGGTGAAATAAATCTGTAAGGATGTAGTGGCATTTGAGTCTGTCTGATAACCTATTGTCTCTCCTGTGTATTTTTTCAGTCATTATTATATATGTTTAGCACCCACTAACATCTATTTAATCTATTTCTAATCTATATATTCCTTTCTATTTCTCATTTATTTGCTTTATAAATACATTTGGCTCGACTTTGCATTGAGAGATGAGTTTCATTATCACCCCAACCCGTCGCAGCAGATGGCTGCCCCTCCCTGAGCCTGGTTCTGCCGGAGGTTTCTTCGTGTTAAAAGGAAGTTTTTTCCTTTCCACTGTCGCCAAAGTTCTTGCTCATAGGGGGTCATATGATTGTTGGGTTTTTCTCTGTATCTATTACTGTAGGATCTACTGTACAATATAAAGCGCCTTGAGGCGACTCTTGTTGTGATTTGGCGCTATATAAATGAAATTGAATTGAATTGAATTATCCAAGTCAAAAACAATAGAAATGGTCTCCCATATAATAACAGGATCAATGTAGCTGCCACCCACCCCTCCAAACTCCACACTGATTTTTAAAGAATCTGGAACTGAGCGTAATTTATCTAAGCACTCACAACCAACTGTTTCACAAGTGGTTGTTATATGTAGAGTTGCCAAAATTAAATTGCTAGAAAGTCATGTTATATTTAACAGCAATGTTCATGAATGTTGAGACAACTGAAAATGATATTTTTTTGCTACAAATGATAATTGATAATAAGAACACAGGCTGTAAATCCCTTTAATTGGCTAGTTATTGCTTTGTACCAGTGAACAGTCATGACCAATCATTTCTGCATTCTGAGCCTTCAGACACATTTTAAGCTTACTTTCCCCCTCTCAGGTGGCCACAGTTTTAAATCATGCGCATCCCAGATGAGGTGTGAAGAGGAGGACTATGACCTGCTGGAGGAGGAAGAGGAGGAGAAAGTGGGCAGGCCCCAGCCTGTGCAGATTGTAGTGGCAAATGAGGAGGAGCATTCATTCTTCCTGCAGGAGCAGGTGCTGGAGCAACTGCTGCTGCAGAAGAAGGTCCAGGACCTCCATGTGGTTGTCGTCTCTGTGGCTGGAGCTTTTCGCAAGGGCAAATCCTTCCTGCTCGACTTTATGCTTCGTTACATGTACAAACAGGTAACCTGTCAAGTTCTGTGAAATTTAAATTGTTAGTTTCATCATAATCCTGCTGACAAACCTCACCAAATATATCCATTGACCTCAACTCTCGTCTTGGTGGAGCAGTCAAAAGAACCACTGAATGGCCCCACTCTGGCAAAATACAAATGCAAACTATACACCACGATAATGAGCTTATGGAATCTGGTTTATCTGAATTAATCATTAATTTCAGAATTGGCTTGTTTCAAAATGTTGAAAGTTGTAACGCTGTGAATAATGCTGTACACATATTTGATTTTTCTGAGTGTGGCTACTATTAACTGCGGTAGCAGTTTCTGTGTCCATTAACAGTTAATGTTCATAACCGTCACTGGGTGCTATGTCAAGCAGATGAGTGCTGCTCTTTGAAGCAGTTTCTGTCAACATACTGTATGAAGTCTAATCCACACTGACGATGAAGATTGGGAAATTTGGTTTACTAGGAGCAACTGGAACAGTCAGTATTTATAATTTTATGTTATGCTTATACTGCAGTGTTCATATCACTGCAGATGCAGCCCAATCCATCAGACTGCTCCTCTTTCCCCTTGCTGGTGAAGAAGACCCCGAGATACTTAAACTCCTGCACTTGGGGCATCAGCTTGTCCCTCACTCGAAGTGGCCCTTTTCTTATTGAGGACCATAACCTGTAACTTGGAGGTGCCAATACTCATTCCTGCCACTTCACTCAGCTACAAACTTCTCCAGTATGAGCTGGAGGTCACCTGCTCAGAAGAGATTATAAGGCCACCAAGGTGAAAGCTTTCTGCCGCTTGGCTACCCCTAGAAATTCTGTTCATAAAACATTATAAAGAGAGCAGGAGGACAGAGCAGCCTTGGCGGGGTCCCATCAAAAATAAGTCCAACTCATTGCTGGCAATACAAAACAAACACTTGTAACAGTTATACACAGACAGACTAGCTTGTAACAATTGATTGTTACAAGCTTTTAACACAAGGCTTTCCACATGTTTGCGTGTGAGTTTGGAATGCAGTTTGTTAGCTATACTCTTGTGATCTTCCAGTCATCTGATTCGTGGCTCGGCGGTGTGGAGGAACCTCTGACCGGCTTCACTTGGCGGGGTGGTTGTGAACGGGAGACCACGGGCATCCAGGCGTGGAGTGATGTGTTTGTAGTGGAGAAACCAGATCACAGCAAGGTCTGTGTCACAGCATCTTCTAGGCTGTTCCTTTTAAAATGTGGTGTGGGTATGTGTGTATATGTGTATAGCGTGAAAAAATGTTTCACCCCGTACTGATTTTTTTTTTTTTTGTTAACTTAAATTTGTCAGATCATCAAACAAATTGACACATGTAAAAACAGAAATGTGTTTTTTAAGTGAAGGCTTTTATTATTCAGGTGAAAATACAGACCTATATAGCCCTGTCTGTAAAAGTAATTCCTCCTATGCCATCTTTGTAAAGCTGAGTTTAATTTCTCTAGCCACACCCAGGCCTGATTACTGCCACACTTGTGACAAATGGTGAAAAATGGAACATTGGTAAACCTTCCCAGGAGTGGCTGGACAAGAACTTAACAAAGTTGCTCTAAGAGCTCAGTGACGACTCACAAAAGACTCCAGCACAACATCCAAAGTAGGTCTGACTTGCCTCAGTTACTGTCAGTGATACCGACTATGGAATGGAGCAATTGTCAACCACCTAATCTACCTACCACACAACTTGGATCTACCCGAATGACATTCTGATGTCTGTAGTGTAGCATAGGCGGATGGTAACAAAGAGAGGGAAGGTATTCCAAACTGATGGGATTGCATTAACAGAAGGCAGCATTGCAGACATCGAGGGCAGCTACAGGCACCTGGGAATCTCATTGGGAAATGGGAACCACGAAGAGGCCGCTAGGAAAGCTGCAACCACCAAGTACCAGCAGAGTGTAAAGCAAGTCCTGAGGAGTCAGCTTCATAGGAAGATCAAGATCCCGGCAATCTACACTTACGCCCTGCCAGTGATTAGTAGCATCAGAAACCCAAGACTGAAGAGGAGTAAGGAGAAGAAGTAAGGATGATGGAACGGCAGGCCACTACTTGGCCACTGTCAGAAGAAGTGTCTGACATCCTGTCAGTGGGTGGACAAAACTGGACTGAAAGACAGCACAGAGACGCTAATCATGGCAGCACAGGAACAAGCCATAAGTACACGATCCATAGAGGCTGGGGTCTAACACACTAGGCAAGACCCCAGGTGCAGAATGTGTGAAGATGCCCCTGAGACAATCCAGCACATAACAGCAGGGTTCAAGATGCTAGCAGACAGGGCATACATGTAATGCTACAACCCAGCAGGCATATTATACAGGAACACCTGGGCTGAGTATGACCTGGAAGTCTCAAGGTCAAAATGAGACATGCCCACTAGGGTCGTCGAGACCTAAGATCATGTGGGACTGCTAGATACAGACAGCCAAACTGGTGATGGCTAACCAACCGTACATAATAGTCGTGGACAAGCAGAGGAAGACAGCTGTAGTGATTGATGTAGGTATACCAAGTGATATCAGGGGGCTGAGAGAAGAACTCAAGAAGATGTCACTTGTCCCCCCCCTCCCGGGCAAGTGACTCCAACAGATCACAGGAACAACATCCAAGATTACTGTCCAGAAGAGTGCAGGACCCAAGCTTGAAGGATAAATAACGCCCTCGGGGGAGAGGGGAATTTAAAAAATATATATATTTATTTGTATGTATGTGGTGTGTATGTTTTTATTTTTACATCATTTTTCCACAGGTTGCAGTTCTACTAATAGACACGCAGGGAGCGTTTGACAGCCAGTCTACCGTTAAAGACTGTGCCACACTATTTGCCTTGAGCACCATGACCAGCTCTGTGCAGGTCAGTCATCTTTTTTATTTCTAGTATATTCTAGTTGTCACATAAGAAACTCTTTAATTCATTGTGATAGTATAACAATAGAATATACATTTTTATCTAGAAATTATGGCATCAACATTATGTGTGTTTCAGGTGTACAATCTTTCCCAGAATGTTCAGGAAGATGACCTTCAGCATCTCCAGGTCAGTTTCAGCCTGCAAGACAGCTTTACTATTTCTAGACTGAATCCTATAGCATAAACCCAATTCTCCAAAAAGTTGATTCTCTTCATCTGGACGTAGCGTTTTGTGAGAGAAACGTTTCGTCACTCATCCAAGTGACTTCTTCAGTCTCAACTGACTGCAGGTTTCCCCAACCTTATAAACAGTACATTTGCATAATGACTGAAACCAGGCCACTGAGAGGTCAGTCAGCTGAGACTGAAGAAGTCACTTGGATGAGTGACAAAACGTTTCTCCCACAAAACGCTACGTCCAGATGAACAGAATCAACTTTTTGGAGATTTACTTTCCTGGATGATTGAGAATGCATCAAGACCCCATGAACCCAATTATTTAGGTCATTTATTATGTTAAGTTATTTCAGCAACAATTAAATGCATCAAATTAGGGTTGTAACGATTTGAGTAATTCAAATAATTTGATTATAAAAAAATACTTGACAGAGCTGTGTGTTAAACGATGTGTCATTTAACACACAGCTCTGTTGTGTGCTAATGTGTTAAACGATGTAAATGCGAGCGTGGGTTGTACTAGACCATATTTATTTAGGCTTTCATTAAAAACGTTTTACGTTGAAAGTGAAATAATATCAAATGTTGTTGTCATTTTAATTGCGTTAATATTTAAACATATATAAGCTTTTTTTCACAAGCCAATAAAAAAGTATGGTTCAGTAAACCTGAGGGTCGTTAGATTGGACACTGAACTGTTATTAATATAATTTAACATCTACACATCAGCAGCACAAAAACCTTGCATCAACCCACATAGCAAAATTCGTATGGCCCAGATCTGGCCCACACAATGTGCTTACAAATGGCCCACATACCGCAAAGAATGACGGCCCTTTGGTGGCCCAGACCTGGTTTGCCAGGTGTGAACCACACATGGGCCAGCACAAGGCCAGTTAGAGACACACTGGAGGTCCTGTGCTGGCCCATGTGTTACCTCTGGCAAACCTGATCTGGGGCACCATTCTTTGTGGTATGTGGGCTGTGTGTAAGTTGTGTGCAGCCACGGGCCAGTTGCAGACACACTACTAGCCCAGTGCTGGCCCAGAACAGTTTCAGCTCTGGCCCCAGATGTCAGTCTACCTTAATCAAGCCATGTAATGACAACATGTGCCAGAACATAATAGTAACATGACAAAACTGTTCAGACAGTGAACGGACTGACTCTTACATAACGCTTTTCTACTCTCCCAGATTACTCAAAGTGCTCTATACAACATACCACATTCACACACTTTCTCTAAGTGCTTCCTAACTACATTCATACACATTCACGCTCTCGCCATGCAGACTGGAGGAGCCAGGGATCGAACCACTAACCTTCTGATCAGTAGGTGATCTGCTCTACCTCATGAGCTACAGCCACCCAGTGGGAAACATGAGTAAAGGGCAGGGGGGGCAGGGATAGCTCAGTAGGTAGAGTGGTGGCACCATGATCAAAAGGTCGGGGGTTCGATTCCACTGAACAGCTACCCTGAGGTACCCCTGAGCAAGGTACCGTCCCTACACACTGCTCCCCGGGCGCCCAATGGCTGCCCACTGCTTCACTGAGTGAATGGGTTAAATGCAGAGAGGAATTTCCCCACAGGGATCAATAAAGTACACTTTCTTCTTTAAACCTCACTAGGTTTTGGATAAAGTGTATACTCACAAACCTGTCAAATCTGCATTTGAAACGTTTGCTACACTGAAAAAAATATGTTGTTGGATTTACTTAATTCAATGGTGGACATTTGTTGCACACAGATGTTTTGCTTTGGCAGCAACTTAAACAATTGAGTTAAATTAACACAATTTATTCATGTTCAATAAACCTGTGCAATTTGTGTTGATAAAATGTGACTTAAACATGTTTTGATGAAGTAATTTGAGCTCTTGGAATATTTTAATCCTTCACAATTTTCTCACTTTATCCCAACACGATTCAATAACTTTTACCCAATACTACTTGGTCACTTAAATACTACATGTTATCTTCAAATTACATTTTGCTATTATATTCTAGTATCAAATACACAATTTTCAAATGGAGGCCTTATAACAGATTGTATTGTTCTCTTCCAAGATGGTTGCTGGCATCCACCAGTAACCTTTCAAAACAAAATGTCTAATTTCACTGCATTGACAGTAGGTAAAGAATTAAACTGACATTACTCCTCCACTGAATCTATAGTTAAATAATGTCAGTTCTTCCGTGTTCTCTGGAATCAATCACAGCAAAGAAATTAGACTCTTTCTTTTGAAAAATGTTACAGGACAATACAAAACATTTTTTTAAGGCCTCTAACGTCAAGATTCAGTTAAACAACAATTATAACTAAACAATTTGAGGTAATGTTAGTTTCCATTAACATTAAATTAGGTTACTGAATTGGCAAACACCTTCCTATTAACATTACCCATTTTACCCCAATAACTAAAGAAATTAGCACTTGCAGGTCAAAACCTTTATTCAAGAGATGCAAAAATAACATTGATACAGTGACTGTCAAAAATTACAGCACTGATCATACTGTGACATGTTGGTTCAAAACAGCACACTTAGAAATATTCAACGTTCTTTACTTCAACTGAATGAAACTGAAAATACCATTTCACACGACCCATATGGGATATTTAGACTGTATAACTGTTCACGCTACATCTCTTCACTAGTAAAAGAAAGAAAAAATACAAAGAGAAATTTAAAAATGCTGCCAAACAGACAAACAGAACTTGTACAGAGCAAAAGGAAAAACAAACAACACAAAAAAACGGCTCGTCCTCATGGCAGTTGCAGAGTATATAAAAATGAACCCTGCGATCTGTTCCTGGAATTGAGCTTCAAAAATGCAGCAGAACAAGTGTGAGATTTAAATGTCCTCTCACCTAGAGCTGGTCACCTACATGCATAACAGTGAGCTTTCCTTGCAGGAGCAGTTTTGTCTTAGTTGTGAGCTTTTCTTGAGAGCTGAGTTGCATCCAACTCCATTACCACCCTTTGAATCACCTCAAAAGTGTAGCAGAGTTGTGATGGGTAACTCATGTTGAAGGAATAAAAAAGGTCCAAACAGCATGGCTACTGCAAAGGTCACGTTATCCAGATCTTGAAGAACTACTACACCCTCGATGATGATGCCAACATCAGAAAAGTCATTGCCTGGTGCATCCTCTGGAGACAGATGTTCATTGTGGTTTTCTCAATCTGTGCAGTGGCCTCAGTCAAGTCCTGGTTAAACACAAAACATTTCTTTAAGATTCCTTTTTAAACTCATCTCTTTTGAATCTACCAGTTCTAATGTTAGAGTAATTTAAACCAATGCAAGCAACATAGTAAATAGCTATAGCCAAAGAGTGGCCTGCCATGCTGCCATTCATGGTCTAACAGAGTTTCTAAGAGAGGGTGAAAAACATAATAATTTCAAATGCTTTACATTAGTTTTTGTTAGAAAGACACCGGCCCATCAGAAATCCAGGTTATGTCACTCAGAAGATGTTAGAATTTAGACTTTCAGCCCCACAATTTGGTTAGCTGTTGGTCAGTTGGTCTTTTTTTTTTCAAACAAAAGCTAATGTAAATATTGGTGGGATTTTCCTTTGTTCACTAGAATGACAAATTTAAAGTTTTTTCACACTGATGTGACCCCTAATACAGGGGTGGGGGTGGGGCCTCAAGGGCCGGCGGCCGAGTTCACTACCAGGCCTCATGTGAACTTCAAATTATTAAAGAGGACTACTGGTCCTAACCAGTCCAATGAGGATCAAGTGGATAACTAAATGCATTTTTAAATGTTGCAAAGCCACAATCTACTCATAAAACACTCACCATGAACTCCTGCACCAAGATGTTGCAATTGTCTTTCACACAGATGCGGAGCACTTTGATGAGGGACTCCGAGCATTAATGTCATCCTTGACTATTATAACAAAGAAAACAGAGATTTGTGAACTTTTCAGTAGCACAGAAGAAAATGATCCCAGACAAAAACTCTTGACTTTTTAAACCAGTCAACATGCAACACCAGCATCTACAAAGCAATATCAAAAGTTCCTGTTTGACATCAACTTTATGGATATATAGTTTCCAGAACATTTATTTTTAAAAAAAGATAAATTTTTCTCAGTGGGCCAGTAAATGCATGACGAAAATTATGGCATCCTTTCAGTGGAATCAGTACTCACAGGTAATAGTTGACTGTTTCAATGGATGTAGCATAAAAATCTTTTACTGACCTAATGCAATACATATACACTTTGTAGTTAAAGAATTTTAAAGTTCTTACTGTCATCATGGCAGCTACATCCTTTAGCTTTGTGCCCTGTTCCCCCGATCACTTTGCAAACACTTTCAGCAGACTGTCAGAGAGAAACTCAGCTCCGTCAGAAACCTTGACTGTAAAGGCAAGGTTGGGATGCACTGGAATGCTGCATTTTATCTGAAATGACATAAAATTATTTTGAAATAACAGCAGGCACTGTGCTTGGTTAATCAGTAATGTTTTGTTGAATAAAAACTGTGTTTCCAGATCTTATGGGATTAAAAAAATCCAAAGATGTTTGTTTCTGATTTGCAACCCAAGAACCCACAAGTTACAACCTCATTTTAGTTCAAGTGTGCATTAATGTGAGTCCAGTAATCACCTTTCTGGCAATACATACAGGTATAAGTTAAACCTATGGCAGATTTTGGATTTCTCAGTTGTATTAATAGGGTGGTCTATTTGAGTATGCATGCACCTAATAATTATAAAAAACCTATTATAATTAAGTTACAGAAACCTTAAGCGAAAATAGAATATACTTTCTTACCATAACACCTTGAACCCACAATCCATCAGCTGACTCCTGGTGAAATGCAGAATAGAGGTCGTCTCTCAATGTGCAGCAAAAAAAACAAAAACAAAAACAAAAGGACAGCAGGTGAGGGCAGGAGGGGTAGGGATGTAAGCTAGCATAATGCCGCTGATGATATTAGCTAAAGCTGTTCAATGTCCAAAATCTCACTAACACCACGGTGCAGTAAATACACAATGTAACTGAAGAGTCAGTTGGCAAATCTATTCACACAGAAAACCAAATTATGTTATGAGTGCCTCGTAATTAGGTTTAATGTGATATTACGGCTCTTGTGCCAAAGACAAATTCAAATGAAAAAGCGCCAATTCTTTGACAACAGATAAAACAGCAAATAAGCTAACGGCTCTTTTTTAGCATGTTACATGGCGACACTCTAGACGTTTAACTACATTTGGCTGAAATATGGTAAATATTAATTCAAAAAATCAAGACATACCAAAAACGTAGAGTTGGCTGCTCGACTTGACTGAGATGGATGCTTTTTTAAACCACGATCCAAAGCCCGCGAGATGAAATCACGCGTGGTTTCACGAGATTTAACGTTGCTATCTTATTGACTTACTTCACCTGAACATGATATGAACAATTTAATACACCCTTTCTGCATATCATGTAGTTTTTACACTATATAGTTACATTTATCTTTAAAACATGAGGCAATTGTGTTAAATACATGCAAGATGCTTACATAAATCCAAGAGATGGCCAGTCCCTTTTTTTCAGTGCATATAGGGCTGGCCCATATCATATTGTTCACGGTAATACCGGTATAACGTTGGGCAACGATAAGAAAATGAAATATCGCAATAGAATATGGGTAAAACGTGGATGCGCAGTGCCTTTGTTTTCATACGCACATGGCGGAAAAAGCATGGCGGCGACGGAGAATGAGAAGGGCGAAAGCGGATCGTTGAATGAAACGGATGAACCAGAATTGGTTTGTAAAAATGCTGCAACTTCAGTGGTGTGGAACTGGTTTAGCTTTCGTCCGTCAGATACACAACAAAGCACTATTTTTGGTAGAGCATGCTAGCGGGCCGTCGTTATTACCGTTTTTTGGAAAATACGGCACACTTAAAATCAATCCTTTGATTTTTCTGAAAATCGACAGTGCCCCTTATAATCCTGTGTGCCTTATGTATGAATTCTGGTTGTGTTTACTGACCTCGAAACGATTTTATGCACACGGCGCTCGAAAATCTGTCAAATGTTTTAGTACGACTTTGCTAAGCTACGAACCCGCACCGCTTGATGGATTGTCGGAGCATTACGGCTATCATAGGCAGGAGCCTCGCGGAGTGATACGTACTGCGCTGTGTGTATAACGTCTTTTTATGTTTTCTGGATATTATACATGGTTATGCTGAGGATATGTCGGCCAATTTCCACTTGAAATGCCTTTTGGTTAAATTGTCAGCGAGGAATTTGCATTTGCACTGTAAAGTTTTTATATAACTTTAATGCACATAAAAAACAGCTGCTTGTTTAAGTGAAACTACATTGATGTTTGTTTGTTTTTTTGCACTAATAAAGTTGTGGAGTTGTAAAGTGTTTTGTCTAGTGTCAATTATATTGTCAGTTATATCGTTATCACAAATTTTCAAATGTATATCATGATAAATATTTTTGGTCATATCGCACTGCTCTATTACCATAGCAGTATAGTATTGCAACATGGCATTTGGGTCTTCTAACTAAAATGGGAAAATAGGAACATAAATAGTGCCACCATTGCCAGACCTGGCCCACATCTGGTTCACATACACCCACCCATGACACCAGTCAGTCAGAAGTGCCAGCTTGATGCCGGATCTGGACCAGACCTGTCTGTTATGTGGGAAAGCACAGGGTAGACTTCAGAATGCTCAGTTTTCTTCATAGCAGCCACCACATTCCTTTAAAGTCCTTTAAAGGCTTGAAGACACAAACTCACTCATTCCCTGCACACTTAAACTTGCAGACACACATGCACAAAAACTCATAATATGCACACACACCCTTTCAGAGCTCTTTTTTTTCAAAGCTGCCTTTCAGAACTCTGATTAAAAGATGGAATGATCAAGAGATTACTCGATTACTAAGATAATCAATAGCTGCAGCCCTACATCATATCCACACATGAAATGGACAAGCAGTTTATGAAAGCTGCAGTCTCTCTAAACAAGATAAGGTCAAATTTTTCTGTGACAAGAATCAAAGAAAAAACCAAACACCAAATGAAAAAATAATTGTTTAGCACTCTTTTTAAAAATCACTACAACAGCATAGGAAATGGCCCAGAGAGGTTCGTTTTTTATGTGCTTCTTTTCTCTGACCCTCTCTGCCTCCCTGCCTCCCTCTGAAGTTTAAGAGAAAATGACAATTTTTCCATCGTATAGATCTCTTGTACAGAATGTATCCAATCTTCCATCGTTGGTGGTTCAAGCTTAAGCCATCCCCTTGTAAGAGGCTTTTTACTTGCGGCCAGTAGGATATACAAGAGTCTATTATCATTGGAATTCAATTTATCCACTGGTACATTACACAAAAATATGGTCTCAAAGGTTAAAGGAAAAACAAATGAAAAAACATTTTGTAGATGTTCATGGATTAGAGACCAATACTGGCGAATAACTGTGCAATCCCAAAAAGATACATCTCTAACATGTGTCACCAGTTCCCCAATATCTTTGTTAAGCAGGGGTGATGAAAAATCTCATAATGCTTTTCCAGCAAAATCCACGCCAAACATTAGACCCAGTGGTAGCCCACTATATCTTGCATGCGTGGTCCCAACACTCCTCTGTAATTGACAAATTACCTTCTTTTTCCCACATTGCTTTAATATACACAGTGCTGTCGTTTTTACACCGCAGGATGCTGTTATATAATTTGGAAATGATTTTGCTTTGTGCTCCAGATTTGGTTAATAATAAAAATGTTTCTACAAATTGTAATTCGTTTAGGTTCACTTTTAATTTTTGATTAAAATAATTTCTGACCTGTAAATATCTAAAGAAGTTGTCTGAACCTAAATCATGTTTACGTTTTAAAAAGCTAAAAAAAAAAAAAAAAGCTCAAAGCTTTGGAATGCCCCCTTGTGGACGAATGAATAATAATTAGTTATACCTTTTGAAACCCAGTTCTTGAATCTATTATCGTAATGATTTGGGGTAAAATCTGAATCATATGCACACCATCTTAAAACCTTGGAGCCCTTTTCCAAACTGCAAATTGTTATTACTTCTTTCCAAGCATCATTATTTGTAGTATAGGTTCGTCTGCCACGTTTATGTCCAATATTAAAGCTGTAACTGGTATTCCTTTAACTATTGTTCCTTCAACATCTTTCCATCCGGCGGGTAATCTGGACAACAGAGACATATCCATGGTCTTAACTGAGCTGCACAATAATATTCTCGTAGACAAGGCAGCCCACGACCTCCCTTTTCTTTCTTTAGTTGGAGTGTTTTATATTTAACTTTAACTTTTTTCCCGTTCCAGATTTTGACAATCCAGTATTTTGACAATATTCTATCCCATGCCACAAACTGTTTTTTTGGTATGGCAATTGGTAAAGACTGAAACAAATACAGCAGTCGGGGAAGAATATTTAATCTGATTGATTCGATACTGGAGTGTAGGTCCAGAAACGAGAAACGGAATGGTATTCCATCTTTATATATCTGATTTTATAGTATCAGTTATCGGGGCATAGTTGGCACTGAACATTTTGGTGAAGTCACGGTGTATTACCAACCCTAGATACCTAATGCTATCTGCATCCCATTTCCATTTATAGCAATTCTTAATTTTGACTGGTGGTTCATAGTTTACAGTTAATACCTGCATTTTATTTACATTAACCTTATATCCCGAAAAAGAGCCATACTCTGATAGCATGTCCATGATTTGGGGGAGTACCTGTGAGGGAAAGGATATTGTTAAAAGTAAGTCGTCAGCAAGTAGTGCTAATTTCTGTTCCCCTCCTGCCGTTCTTACTCCAGTTATATCCTGTCTCTGCCTGATCCATTGACTTAATGGTTCTATAAACAAAGCAAAAAGCAGTTGTGAAATGGTTCTTTATTCTATGTATAGTCCTCTCTGCTTGTTGCTTCCTAAGTTTAAGAAACAGGAGTCTTAATGATTCCCTCCCTACCTCGCATTGCTGTTGTTTAATAAAAAGAAGTTTTTTCTGTATGTCCATTGTGTTTAGATTATCTCTTTCTTTTTTTTTATTATATCAGATTTAATATCATCATTCAGCATCACAGAGTGTAGATGTTGTAGCTCTAACAATTTATCTTCTAATTGACAACGGTTTTCCCACCTTGATTTTATAATGTAAGAGGATATACTAATTATTTTTCCTCTAATCACTGCCTTCAATGCATCCCATAATATTCCCGGAGATACCTCCTCATTTTCATTATACTCTAAGTTTCTATTTCTTTTTTCAAACTCTCTTTAATATTTGGATAATTTAAAATGTTTGAATTCAACCTCCATAAGGTTAATCTATTTTTGCTATTCAGGCAGATATCAAGATAAACCGGCTTATGATCTGAGATGGTACAAGCGGCTATTTCACAGCTTTTAATTCTAAATAGATAATTCTTAAACACGAGAATATAATCTAGCCTAGAATATACGTTGTGCGGAATTGAGAAATGGGTGTACTTTCTATCATTTGGATGAAAATCTCTCCACACATCTAGTAGTCCAAAATCGTCCATAAAATGCACCATTCTTCTTCCACTATTCCTCTGATCACCTTTTCCGTTTGAAGAATCTAGTTTGACATTTAATGTGACATTAAAGTCACCCCCGCAAATGAAAATTCCCTGACTCCTTGTTGTTGCCAATTTCAAAATCTGCCTATATAAGGACTAGTCACTGCCTGGGGGAATATACACATTTAAGAGAGTAATCATGGTACCCTCAATCTTATCTGTTACCAATATATATCTACCTTATATGTTCATAATTCAAAGCTGAGGATAACAGAATCGCCACCCCCCTTCGCCTCCCATAACTATGTGAAGAATAGAAGGCATGTTTGAAACCTTGTTTG